GAAGAAGGTGGTTATCCATCTGTGACAGAGCCTTGGGTGTCACAGGGTGGCCTTTCCTCCTGTTTGCAGGAGGTGAGTTTTCCTGAGTTCCTAGCCTCAGTGTTCTCTGCATGGTCTATCACTGACTCCCGCTCCCAGTGCTCACTGCCTCTTGTTCTCACTGCCTCCTGTTTCTGCTGAGTTCTTTGCATCTGCCTGATGTTGGCTTAAAGGTCCACCCCTCCCAAGGGAATTTGTCCCACGCTTCACCTCCGCTTTGGTGATCTCTTGATTACGGCTGTAATCAAGCCATGTAAACCTTAAAGGACAGCCACTTTGTTTGTGATCCTGCAGCCAAAATGGTTCACCCTCAACTTCCCTTAATCCCTTGCAGCATCTGAGACACACGGGTGAATGTATATAAGGTGCTTGGGGCTAACCAAAGTTAAATACATAGGACAAGTACTTGAATCTAGATAATCTAATGGTAAGATATCGTTTGGTCTCTAGACTTCATGGGCTCACCCCAGCAGTGGGGTGCCTGGAAATGAACAGATCTTTCTTGTGTCTTATCCTCTGGGCTTCCAGGCTCCCCGAACATGGTGACCTCCATCTGTAACACCCACTATCCCAGAGCAGCATCCTGGATATTGGAACTCTCAAGTCTAACCTAAGAGAACAAGGACAAGCCTCTCTATGTAAGATTTGCCCTTCCAGATCCAGTTGAGCTCTGCTCTGGAGTCGGACTCTCTGAAGGCATAGCCCAGCTCTAGGTCTTACCAATTATGTGATCAGCAATGAGAGTTAATGTTTCTATGTTTCTGATGCTTCATTTTAAAATGGGGATAATAAAAATTTAACTTCAGAGGTTTGTTGTGAGGAGTAAAAGCCATTACAGTGTTTGGCATATAGAAAGTGCTCAGTGTTGGGGAATATTGGACAGATAATGAATATCACCAAGAGTCTTTTCCTGGGTGATTATCTTACATCCTGCTCTAATGAATGTGGCTCAACTATTTAGGCCATAACTGTAATTATTATATTTGGTTATATGGCCCCATAGCATTAAAATTCATACAAGAAGAACTTCACTCACACATAGTAACTGGAATGCAGTAGATGTGGGTAATTTCTTTAAAAAGCCTAAATCATATGGGTGGTTGCTTTCTCATAAACAGCCTAGGCTTCACTTTAGTTTCTCATCTGCAAAAAGGGGACTGTACTAGGGTTCTCCAGAGAAACGGAACCAATAGGTGATATCTAGAGAGTTATAGGGAATTGGCCCATGCAATTATAGGGGCTAAGAAACCCAGGACCTGTGGTGGGCATGCTGGAGACCCAGGAGAGCTGATGGTGTGGTTCCAGTCTGTCTGAAGCCTGAGACCGAGGAGAGCTGATGGTGTGGTTCCAGTCTGTCTGAAGCCTGAGACCGAGGAGAGCTGATGGTGTGGTTCCAGTCTGTCTGAAGCCTGAGACCGAGGAGAGCTGATGGTGTGGTTCCAGTCTGTCTGAAGCCTGAGACCGAGGACAGCTGAAGATGTGGTTCCAGTCTGTCTGAAGCCTGAGACCGAGGAGAGCTGATGGTGTGGTTCCAGTCTGTCTGAAGCCTGAGACCGAGGACAGCTGATGGTGTGGTTCCAGTCTGTCTGAAGCCTGAGACCGAGGACAGCTGAAGACGTGGTTCCAGTCTGTCTGAAGCCTGAGACCGAGGAGAGCTGATGGTGTGGTTCCAGTCTGTCTGAAGCCTGAGACCGAGGACAGCTGAAGACGTGGTTCCAGTCTGTCTGAAGCCTGAGACCGACTGAGGGACCAGCTGGAAGGACGTGGGTTTCCAGTCTGTCTGAAGCCTGAGACCGAGGAGAGCTGGTGGTGTGGTTCCAGTCTGTCTGAAGCCTGAGACCGAGGACAGCTGATGGAGTGGTTCCAGTCTGTCTGAAGCCTGAGACCCACGAGAGCTGGTGGTGTGGTTCCAGTCTGTCTGAAGCCTGAGACCGGGGACAGCTGAAGATGTGGTTCCAGACTGAGTCTGAAGCCTGAGACCCACGAGAGCTGGTGGTGTGGTTCCAGTCTGTCTGAAGCCTGAGACCCAGGAGAGCTGAAGACGTGGTTCCAGTCTGTCTGAAGCCTGAGACCCACGAGAGCTGAAGACGTGGTTCCAGTCTGAGTCTGAAGCCTGAGACCCAGGGAGCTGAAGACGTGGTTCCAGTCTGAGTCTGAAGCCTGAGACCCAGGGAGCTGAAGATGAGGTTTCAGTCTGAGTCAAGGCCTGAGACCCAGGAGAGCTGCTGGTGAAAGTTCTAGTGCAAGGGCAGAAGACCAATGTCCTAGCTCAACAGTCAGGCAGGTAGAAGTTCCCAGTTTCTCAGCCTCTTTGTTCTATTCTGTTCTTCAGTTGGTTGGCTAAGGCCTCTCCACATTAAGGAGGGCCATCTGCTTTTCATGGTCTGCTGATTCATATGTTTATCTCCCAGAAACACCCTCACAAACACACCCAGAATAATGTTCGACCAATGAATGTTGGGTACTTTGTGGCCAAGTCAAGTTGACCCATAAAATTAAACATCACAGGGACTTAAAAACATGTCCTTTCCCCTTTCCAAACTTCTACCCAGGGAGGAAAGCATAGAGCAGGGTGGGATGGAGTATCCAGGATGCCACAAATCAAATAATTTTAAGAGAGGACAAAAACCAAAAATAAGTAGATTTTTTTGGAGACAGTTTCACTCTTGTTGTCCAGGCTGGAGTGCAATGGTGCTATCTTGGCTCACTGCAACCTCCACCTCCTGGGTTCAAGCGATTCTCCTGCCTCAGCCTCTCAAGTAGCTGGGATTATAGGTATGCACCACCACGCCAGGCTAATTTTGTATTTTTAGTTGAGATGGGGTTTCACCATGTTAGTCAGGCTGGTCTCGAACTCCCAACCTCAGGTGATCCACCCGCCTCGGCCTCCCAAAGTGTTGGGATTATAGGCGTGAGCCACTGCGCCCAGCCAATTGTATTTTCTCTAAAGACTCCAAGACCACTGTCTTAGTCTGCTTATGACTGTCATCACCAAATACCACAGACTGGGTGGCTTAAACAGCAGAAACTAATTTTCTCACAATTCTGGAGGCTGGAAGTCCAATGTCAAGATGTTGGCAGAGTTGGTTTCTCCTGATGCCTCTCTCCTTGACGTGCAGATGGCCGTCTTCTCGCTGTGTCCTCACGTGGCCTTTTCTCCACGTCTGCACCCTCCTCGTGTCTCTTCCTCTTCAACACCAGTCTGGATTAGGGTCATATCCTTTCTGGATTAGGGTCATATCCTTAGGACCCCATTTAACCATAATCACCCCCTTACAGGCCCTATCTCTGACTATAGTCACATTGGGGATTAGGCTTTAAAACATTCATTTTGGGGGAACACAGTTCAGTCCGTAACAGCCAACCTTTTTTATCTCCCTGGAACCCACAGATGCTATATTTAGCATTTATGGTGTAGTCATGGCTCCCTCCAGCCCAAATTTTCATAAAGGGAAAAGATGAGGTGTTCAAGAGCCCTGTCATAATGAAAGGCAATTCAGGGCCACCGTCATTACTAGTATCATCATCGTCACCATCATCATCATCTTTATCCCAGCACCTTAAGAACTCATTCGTGATTTATGTGGTGGTTCAAAAAGAGAACTCGAAAAGTGAATTTATCCAGCTGTGTTTATGGAGCTCGCCTGACTCACTCAGCTCGCCAATTTTGGTGGGAGGGCACTAAGATGAAAACCACACCCCTTCCTGTAAGGTGGTGCTTTGTAGTGTTTAGACACACACACGCGCACACACACACGCGCACACACACACACACACACCCGTAATCCAAACTAGAAAGTGATAAATACTATGGGGGCCGGGTGCGGTGGGTCACGCCTGTAATCCCAGCACTTTGGGAGGCCGAAATGGGCGGATCACAAGGTCAGGAGATCCACACCATCCTGGGTAACACGGTGAAACCCCGTCTCCACTAAAAATACAAAAAATTAACCGGGCATGGTGGCGGGCGCCTGTAGTCCTAGCTGCTCGGGAGGCTGAGGCAGCAGAATCGCTTGAACCCAGGAGGGGGAGGTTGCAGTGAGCGGAGATCAGGCCACTGCACTCCAGCCTGGGCAACAGAGTGAGACTCTGTCTAAAAAAAAAAAAAAAAGAAAGAAATACTATGGAATAAGTAATAGAATATGCTATGGGAGAGTTTGGAAGAGAAATACATACAGAGTTATAATAATAACCGAAATCCTTCATTGAGCATTTATCACGTGCTTGGCACAATTAGCTTAATCCTGAGTCTTAATTGTCAGGATCTTACATTATAAGATAGACAAAAATTCAATGCATGCTTTACTAAGTACCGTTTGTATCAGTATTTAAATCACTGTGTTTGGTACTCTCCCAAATGCAAAGATGATGAAGACACAGGTACTATCCCTTATGAATGGGTGGCCAACAGAACAGAACAGATTGCTGCATACATAAGGAGAAATCTGCTCCCATTCTCTATTGGCCACGAACAGGCATGTCTTCGGAGTGGAAGAGTAGAAAGATCTCTAACTGTGCTTGGAAACTTCGGGAGTTACCGCGTCTGGCTAAAGTGGTATTGTCTTAAGGAAAACCTATGAATTTGCCTGCGGCGGCTTGGTGTTTGGTGGTCAGTTGTCTGAGGAAACTGGAAGAGAGAGGCTGGGGTACACCTTTCAACATGAATGGAACTGACCACTGGAGGGAAAGAACAAGGAACAAAGACCATCCCGCCCATCACCCACCTGGGGGAAAGTGAGGGGAGATGGGCAGGGTGACAACGGGGCCAACATCTAAAGTGTGAAGGGGGGCTCTTACTAAGTGCCCACCCCTTCCCAAGCAGAGGGCAATCAACAACAGCATCTGTAGCGGGTCTTCCTCCTGGGCAGAGGCAGGGGAATCCTGGTATGAGTTCTGGAGTACACACATGTGACTTGGCACGTTTGGGGCTTAAAGGTAGGAAGGGATTAAGGGGGGAGATTTGAAAATCCCGGTGGAGGTGGGAGGTACCCCAGGGTAAAAACAGGAACAGTCTTGAGCACCTGCCTGTACCAGGAGCTCTGTGTATGCCATCTCATTTCCGTCTCCACCAGCCAGGAGGGCCTTGGCGGCAGGAGGCACAGGCTTTGGGAGCAGAGGCCCTGCAGCTTGCCAAGCACGCACGGCCCTAGGGCGCCCGGCTGAGACGGCACCTGGGCACCCGCGGCCGCTGCAGCCCGCTCGGGTCAGCTACACCCCAGTTGGGAGCCTTTCCAGCGGGTCGGAGGAGAACGGAAGTTTGGGGTGACCCGCGCGATTCGCCTGGCTGCATTTTACATTTCCTTCTCCAGCAGCTGGGGTCACGAAGGCTGCTCTCGCCGGCTGTGTTGGAACGTGGACACGTGCGCTTTGGTAATAGGGCAGCCTCCCCCGCGGGCGCAGTCCCTGCTGCCAGCGCCCCCGGCTGCGGAGGCGGGACCGAGGACCCAGAGATTTGAGCCGCGGGTGGGCGGGGAGGGGCCTTTGTGACCTGCCCGCCCCTCCCCGGCACTGTGATGCCGGGGGGCAGCTGCGGGCCCGGCGCGCCTGTCCCCGGCTTCCCCCCCTCCCGGTGTGTCACAACGGCGGAGGCGGCCGTATCTGGAGCAGTCGGGGCGGGCAGGCCCAGCTGGGAGGTGCGCGGGCGAGGACAGCGGCAGCGATGGTGAGGCTTCCCCGGGCAGGGAGGGCTGCGGGCGTGCGGCAGGCGCAGAGAGCCGCATCTACCGGGAGGCGCACGGACCCGGCCACCTGGAGCTGCAGAGCTCAAGGCCTTCTGGGGGTGGGAGTTCAGGGTCGAGGAGTCCGCATCCTCGGGCGGGAACACCTGGTGCCCTTTATCGTACGGGGGAAAAAGAGACCGGGGTCGGTTGTTCCTTAAAGGGACCTAATGCGAGCTTTGCGCGCAGACGAGGGGGAGGGAGACCCTGGGGAACCCGACGGAGAAGCGGGCGAGATTCTGGGGTCGGTGGGCAGCCTGTGGACAGAGTGGAGAAAAGGGCGAGTCCGGGGATTCTGGATGGGTGGTCTGGGCCGGGGCGGCTGTGGGACCAGATGCAGTCACGTCTCCAAACCCAACCTAATTGACAGGGCCCGGAATGTGACAGGGGACTTAGGGCGCCGCGGTCCCCCCACGCGTGGAGGTCGTTCTCGCACCCCCTCGCCAGCGGCTTGGGTTTGCTGCACGCACAGCCCCAGCGCGGCGAGGTCCTCCGGGCGCACTCAGCTCCCAGGTCTTTCCAGCGGTCAGAGTCGAAGGACTCTGGGACTCAGAAGTCTCTGCTTCCAAAGGCCAGAGGACCTTGGACCTGTTTCCTACCCTGGCTTAGGGGGCTCGCGGCTGCTCCCTTCCCTGCCCCCGCCCCTTCTCCATTTGCAGACGCGGATCTTACCGAGGGGCGACTCCAAACACGCAGTTCCTCTCTCTAGGGTCTCCCTCTCCGCCCCCAGTGCCCTGGTGGCTAACATTTGCCCCCAATCCACTTTCCCAAAGCCCGGAATCCGAGGAATCCCTCCCGGACCCCTGATCTTTCAGCAGTAGGGAGATGGGCTGGAAAGGTTGGGGGCAGAGGGAGGGCAGAATAAGCCTATGTCATGGCCAAGGTCAGGTTCCCTGGGCAGGCTTGCTCCAGCTGTCAGTGACCCAGAATGCAGGCGAGAACCCCCTCCGCCCCGCCCTGTTACGTTTGGACAGTGCCCAGGGCCTCCTGGCTCCCCGGAGCTCTACTCTTCCAGCTTCAGTTTCGTCAGCACCCTCCCTCCTCCGCGCGGGCTCCCGGACACTCCTGGGAGCTGAAAGAAATTGGGAATATTAGGGAGGGTGGCCACAGGAAACTATGTCTGCCTGAGGCCCCTGGTATGCGGCCACAGAAGGGGCCCAGAGCTGCGAGTTCAGAATTTTGACTCTTGGCTCTGCAGCTAGCTGTGTGACTTCAAGAAAGTCACTTAACCTCTCTGGATGAGTTTGTTTTACCTGCAAAATGAAGAGGGTTATAATTCAAATTTCCAAGGCGCCACATGAATTTTATTATTTTTAAACTTTTTATGGTAGGGAATTTCAAACATATGCAAACGGAAAGCAAATGGTATAATGAGCCATTATACACGTCATCTAACTTCAGTAATTACCAACTTCTGACCTGTCTCACTTCATTTATTCCCTCCCTCCGTAATTTTGAAGCAAATGCTAGGCTGCATACTCTAGAATTGATATTTAATATTTATAATATCTAGCGGGTAGCTAGTGCTTTAGGATTTTCCAAGTGCTTCCCTTGAATGCTTTAATTTGGATCTGAATGCCATTGTGGTACAGAGTGGAGCCCAGAGGGTGTTTACAGGAGCGCCGAGGATCTTAACCCAGCCCTGTGCACAAGCTTCAATGTGTGATCCACAGACGAGTTTCTGACAATGCCTGGTAAATCAACAATTCAAACAGCAAAACCTTATTTTGAATGTGCTTAAGAATTTGGGTGTTTAGCTGAAAACCTGTGGTTAAATATTTTGAAATGGGAATATCTTTCATTTATTTTGAAACACTCGATTTTGTATAGCAGGTTCTATCTAGAACATTTAACTTGTGTGCGTTCCACTGTCTTGATGGCAAATATTTTTTGTTGAACATTTTATACTCACAGAAACTTTTAAAATATCATTTGGCTCATTTGTAAAAGGCTAAAATGACACATCTATAAACCGAGACCCCTAGAATCCCACCCTTACAAAAATGACTTTATTAATCCAAGGATTAAGTTTCAGGCTGCTGTCCTGTCTCCTCCACTTCCCTCCCTGGAGGCGGTTTGGAGGAGGTGACCTTGGTGTTAAGGAGAATTCGATTTGTCATTTCTGTAGGTTCTGGGTAAGAAAAGTGTAATTGGCCGGGCGCGGTGGCTCAAGCCTGTAATCCCAGCACTTTGGGAGGCCGAGACGGGTGGATCACGAGGTCAGGAGATCGAGACCATCCTGGCTAACACGGTGAAACCCCGTCTCTACTAAAAAAAAAAAAATACAAAAAAATTAGCCGGGCGAGGTGGCAGGCGCCTGTAGTCCCAGCTACAGGGGAGGCTGAGGCAGGAGAATGGCATGAACCCGGGAGGCGGAGCTTGCAGTGAGCCGAGATCGCGCCACTGCACTCCAGCCTGGGCGACAGAGCGAGACTCCGTCTCAAAAAAAAAAAAAAAAAGAAAAGTGTAATTAATCCTTATGTATATTTTTAAATGCATTTCTCTAGCTACTAGGCAGATGAGCATTTTTCCTCTGTGAACCTTCCCCCAACCCCTTCCCCCCAGCTACCCACTACACGGTACCACGAATACCCTTTAGCATTTCTGTCCTGGAGCCTAAAGTTACACAGCTGGTAAGAAGCTGAGTAGGGGCTGGAGTTTACATTCGCTGGGCTCCAGAGCCTCTGTCTTGAGCCACCGGCCCATGCTGGGACCAGCAGGCTACTCCCACAGCAGACCATTCCCGTCCGCTCCCAGTGTCCTTCTGGCACGCACCTCTCTGGGAGCTCAGACTGTGACACCTTTTTTGGGAAGCGGTAGGAGAATTCTGGCCAGGTGCCCTAAGCCAAGTCCATGCCAATGATACCGGGGCACAAGGTTTCTGTGGTTTATAGGGAGGTGGGAACATCTGCAACACGGCTTCCTTAAGTGCATTCCTTTAGAACTTGGGAGCACGATGGAGCAGTTAGAGGGTTCTGGGGGCCAAATGGATATCCTTCTGCCCATCACCCCATGTAGGCAGGCGTGGCTGAGCTCTGTGGAGTTGATAGGTGTATTCTGACCTCAGAGCACGGTGTGGGCTCCCAGGCGCTGCAGGTCATGGCTGCCTCCTCCTCCCCTCCCATCATGAAGGGCAGGTTTCCCCAGAGGCACTGGGCACATGCCTCCGAGTGAGGGGCCTTGGCTCACAGGGCAGCGGCTGGGGCAGAGCTGCTGGGTTGGTAAGTCCAGTGGGAGCCCCCAACATCCGGCCAGGCCCATGCAGAGCTTGGGGTGGGGCTTAATGCCATTGTTGAGTGCTTTCTGATGAGGCTCCTGAGTGACCTTCAAAGGGAGATTAAAAGTTAAAAATAATTTTGGAGGGGGAAATAGCTGGTGGACACAGGGCCGGTGATGATGGGGGTGGGCGGGAGGATGTGGCACTCTCCGGGGGAGGAAGCAGACCAAATGCTCCTTTTCCCTCAGGCCACAAGGGACGGACAGCACTATCTGTGGCCTTTGTGGTTGGCATTTCCCCTGCAGTGTCTTCCTGTTAGGAGTTCTCTCAGATAATAAGCTGCAGAAGAGAGCAGGAGATGGAGCAGGCACTGTGTGCTTCGGATTGAAACTCCTAAGTGTCTCCTGCACCTGCCCCAGTGCCAGCCATAGCCCAAGGGCCTTTGACGACCTCCGGCCTCTTATGCTGGGAGTCTCCTTAGCAGATGGCCTCATGGCCAGAGCTGGCCTCCTGTGAGCCCCGTTGCTGCCCTAACTGTAGTGTCTATCATCTGAGCCCCTCTCGCGAGCCACCTTCACTCACTAAAGTGAATTTAGGCCAACTCTGGTTTTGCTGTGTCTGGTTGGCTATCTATTCTTTGTTATGAGTGATTTCAATCATGCTCTGTGATCGAAGAGTTCTGAGCAGAGGGAATTCAGCAGCCCTTCAGGAGCCACATCTGTCCTTACTTTAATTACCCCTCTGTGACACTGTGGGCCGGCTTTTCACTTGCCATCCCTGACCTAGGTCCTAAAATATATGTGATCTATTATCCCAGCCTGACAAGTAGAGATAATTTGGTGTAATCACGTGCTTCCTGAGAGCAACTGGGGCATGAGAGCATGGGTGGTCAGGGAGTGGGGGCGGTCCCCGGCTTGCACAGGGCACACACTGTGGCCCACGTCGGCCCCTCTCCCAGATGATATGCCACTTTTACCGTCTTGTGATACTTGGAAATAGTATCACAAGACAGCCTTTTTAAGGCTTCAAAATCTCCTTCTGCCAAGGATGGTGATTAGCTTATCTTAGTCCTCTGAGAACAAAGCAAAAGGAAATGACTATTATTAAAATAGAATAGAAGATTGATGTAAAAAAGGGCTTCTTGCAGCAAAATTATAAACGGGCTGCAAAGTTCTAGAATTTCTTTCACTGATGCTCTGCAAAACATAGGCACTGGGCGCATGCTTCCCAGCGAGGGGCCTTGGCTCACCGGGCAGTAGTTCCCCAGGCGGAGTGGTCACAGGTGGCCTAGATGTCTCACTGGCCCTGCCCTTCCTCAGCCTGCGCTCCGGACAGACTGGGCAGTGTGCGGGAACCAGCCTGCGTTTTCCTGCCTCTTGCTCACACTGCTCCTGCATCCACCTGGACTGTCCCAGATCATCTTGGCTGTCTGCCTTCTACAGAGTCCTTGTGAATATTCTTCCTTTAGGAAACCAAGCTAGAAGATGTCTCCTTCTTGGAACTCCCTCCGCACTTGACCCGTATGCTTCTTGGGCACTGGCCACTGTCCTGGTTGCATGGACTGCAACCCCTCAGGGAACATTTTCATTCCACTCCTCCCTGTGTTAACTGGGCACCTGCTACATTCAAGCACTGGGCTCGGTACTGGGGAGTCCACGAGTGAAAAAGGTTCCTTGCCCTCACACAGCTTATGTTCTCTACTAGAAAGGTGAGAAAACGAACAGGCAG